TCACCGGTCCTCTATAGTCTGGGGTCAGGGCCCGTACGGTGTGAATACTGTGGTTCACTGTACACAGAGAAGGGAGATGTTTGTTCTCTCTCACTGTGGTCTTACTGAGGTTTTACCGCGATCAGGTAGTGGACTACTGTGTGACTGACTGTGTTGGGATGTTGTGGGTTCCCAGACCTAGGCATGGTTGCAACCAAGGCATGTTCCCCAGAAGGTGCTTCCTGTCTGCTCTTAATCCCTCAATCTCAGGTTTAGATTCCTGATTATCAGGGATTCCTGATTTATCAACTTTCGACATAAACTCAATTGCGTTTTTGGGTTAGGGGGGATTGTGCATCGGTGCCATGACCACAGATCACACACTGGTAATACTTTTTTTCCTAAACCTAATCACTGATCCTCCTCTCTGCGTTACAGCAGCATTTCCTTTCCTTAATTCTCAAATCCAGGCAAATCCAAAGGTATTTAATAATACTTTGCATCTGTACCTTGATTGAACTATCAAATTCCAAAGCTATTTGGGTTGCATTAGTATCAAGAGTAGCACACATTGTTTATACCTGGATATCTAGTTAATATCAAAACACTGACTGTTTGGGAAAGGTTTTCCCTTCTATTTCTCTCCAGCAGCTTTTCCAATTGGATTGTGTTGTCCAAACGCAGAATGCTTTTAACAGTGGAGGAGATGTAATGTTATATGATTTGGACTGCAGCCAGGGTTGTATTGGCCCGTGTGTGTCTTTTCCATCCACAACACTATTTGTTTATTGCCGTATCTCAATCAGCAGTATCGGTATAGCATTGCAATGTTTTATAGAAGCAGTTGATCTCCAGTATATTAATAACAATGCATCTCAATGATAAACCCTGCTCATTACAAATATGCCGTACACTTAAAATGTGACAAAAAAACAATTTACATCATTAAAAGCATTAAACGTTATTATCTATAATTAGATGTTGCCATTAAATTAAGCATGGCAACATTTGGCTCCACTCAGCGTGCGAGCGTTGCCACAGCCTGAGCCTGCCTAAATGTAGGGGGCCCACTGAGAGGAGACTGTTATCTGAGCCCTGCAATTCTGACTGGCTAGGGTAATTAAAAAACCAAGGGTAGAAGTACCACCGTCGTCCCAACACACACACTTGCAGTTGGTTGCACGACATGACACGCCATAGTGTTACTATTTGCTGGAATGGATTTAACACCTGTTCCCCTATCGCCGAAAAGTGAATATCAAATTCAATGTCAAATATCACATTTTCAAACGTGCACATTCAGTTCGGACTCTAGTAAATCCTATTGAGTCACTATGAACAATAGTCCAGTGGCTGGCGGAAGAGCATAGAGTGGGGGATAATACTAACCAGCGGAGCATACCTTTTAACCCTGGGGTTAAGCATGGAGAGATGTGAATAAACACCTAAGCCGAAAGCCATTTGTGGGCTTGAGCCCGGCGCTAAACATCATGGACAAATATTATATGAGATCAGTGTGTATTAAGACGATATTAGTGTAATCCCTCTGTTTTACGGCAGGGCTTGTCCGCATGGCTCAGGAAGGGACCCAGTGGCAGGGTGGGAGACGGCATGATTAGGGTGTAATTGAGAGGGGCTTAATGGGCATGGGCCGTGCCAAGACGGGACAGGCTGGGGGGAAAGGCAACAAGCAGAAAGCCAACTCTGGAGGACGGTGCGCTCTCTCTCATACACACAAACACAGTAGGAACATATTACACATTAGGAATCCAGTCTGTATATACAGTTATGGATGTAAATATACATGTATACACAATTGTGTGCAAATGCACCTACATAATGTTACAGGGCATGTAAACACTCAGTCCCACTCAGGTGAACACTTCTCTTTTTGCTTGTGTGCCAAGCCTTTTGTTGTTTGCCCCTTTGTTGATTGCATGCCTCTTCTTTCTGCAGGGCCAATAAGATTGAAGTGGTGATGTCAGACCTGGAGAGAGCCAATCAGGTGAGTTCCTGGCTGTTTTTAACCCCTCTTCACAAAACCATCTCATCTTATCAAAGTATTCAAACAGACATACTACTCTTACACCATTTGGCCTTAGTTTCAGTGTGTCTTTATAAGCAGCTTGATACAGGAGTTGCTCTGTTTCAAATGCATTCCAAATGTTGTTCCAGAGAGTATGAAACATACTGAAGTCTATGAGATAAATGTCACATGAGAAAGGAAATGTATCAAAGTGAAACTAGCCTTTTGAATAACAATGAAAAGACACACAAATATTGCACTATTAGAGACTCCGCAGAGTGTGACTAATCTGGCGTTGCCTCTATCTTTGGCGTCCTTTAATGTATTTCTCCATGTTTTTCGCCCAGACACATCACGGCGGTGATTAGCCATTATTTACACTGAGACGACCCTTTGATATCAGCCGAGAAGTCAAGGCAAGATAATGAGCAGCAGTGTAATTACTCTCTATGGGCTTTGGGTCTGCAGTTGAAAACTATCGCCGCAGCCGTTACCATGTGATCTTGTTTATATCGGATGAGTTAGAATGTGAACGCGTTCCGTTTGTGTGTGTCATGCAAGCAGGGTGGCATGGAGTTAATGATGACTGCTGGAGACCAGGGCCCGGATTCACAAAACCTTCTTATGAAGAATTTTCTTCATAACTGCAATTTTTGCCTTAACTACAGACTTATGAAGAAAGTTAAGCAAAGTTGCTATTCCTCAAAAAGGTTATTGGAAATGTTATTGCATTATTTCTTATGTTTCTAATTAAGTACAAAGTTAAGAAGAAATGTGATTCTTGAAAATAAAGTTAATGGATTTCTTCTTGGAAATATTTTGTTAATTCCAAGATAGCTAAACCCTTGTCTTAAACTCAGGGCAATTGAACATGTTTAATTCACTCACACACTTCATCTGAAAGTTTCAGTATTGATTTTTTCAACCCCCCAAAATGTTTTAGAGCAGTATAATATCAGTAAGAAATATGCTAACATGATTGCCATTGCTAGCTAGATAGCTAGCTAGATCTGTTGCCTAACGAAAATGTTCTTAAGATAGTTAAGAAAATATTTGAGAAGTTTGTAAGAAAAACATGTTTTTGAGGATTTGCACTTACGAACTATCTTCTGAACTAATTTGTATTTGTATTTTAAATTTTTGTGTATGAAGTGTTTTGTGAATCTGGGCCCAGGTAGTTGGAAATAAGCCGGTCAGTGATGTTGAGCTATTAGCTCAGTTGGTGAGGTGATTAGTTGTCAGGTGACATGGTTGGAACAAAACCCTGCAGTACCTGCAACACTCCAGCACCAGGGTTGCCCTATAGTACATGTAGGTCCGTCGCCGCCAGGGACTCAACGCCGCCAGGGACTCAAATCCTGCAGTGCCAGACGTGTCCCCCTGCTTAAGCCAGTACATGTCCAGGCCCGTCTGAAGTTTGCTAGAGTGCATTTGGATGATCCAGAAGAGGATTGGGAGAATGTCATATGGTCAGATGAAACCAAAATATAACTTTTTGGTAAAAACTCAACTCGTCGTGTTTGGAGGACAAAGAATGCTGAGTTGCATCCAAAGAACACCATACCTACTGTGAAGCATGGGGGTGGAAACATCATGCTTTGGGGCTGTTTTTCTGCAAAGGGACCAGGACGACTGATCCGTGTAAAGGAAAGAATGAATGGGGCCATGTATCGTGATATTTTGAGTGAAAACCTCCTTCCATCAGCAAGGGCAGTGAAGATGAAACGTGGCTGGGTCTTTCAGCATGACAATGATCCCAAACACACCGCCCGGGCAACGAAGGAGTGGCTTCATAAGAAGCATTTCAAGGTCCTGGAGTGGCCTAGCCAGTCTCCAGATCTCAACCCCATAGAAAATCTTTGGAGGGAGTTGAAAATCTGTGTTGCCCAGCGACAGCCCCAAAACATCACTGCTCTAGAGGAGATCTGCATGGAGGAATGGGCCAAAATACCAGCAACAGTGTGTGAAAACCTTGTGAAGACTTACAGAAAACGTTTGACCTGTGTCATTGCCAACAAAGGGTATATAACAAAGTATTGAGAAACTTTTGTTATTGACCAAATACTTATTTTCCACCATAATTTGCAAATAAATTCTTTAAAAATCCTACAATGTGATTTTCTGGATTTTTTTTCCTCATTTTGTCTGTCATAGTTGACGTGTACCTATGATGAAAATTACAGGCCTCTCTCATCTTTTTAAGTGGGAGAACTTGCACAATTGGTGGCTGACTAAATACTTTTTTTCCCCACTGTACATTAGCCTATACCTACACTTAGGAGTAAAATCTCACTGAAGGTTTTACTGTGTGTCTGCTTGGCTTGTTTTTCTATGGCTACCGCGTAATTAAAGGGAGCCTGCTGATTAGAATTTGTCATAGAATCACCCGAAACAATTATTTGTCATTATATTAAATGGCGCCCTCATTACCTATACTTTTGGAACAACTTAGCTGCCTGAAAAATGTTGAATCTCCATAATTCCATAAAGATTAAAGCTTTAGCGCCTGATACATCTAAAGGTTGAATGTTTAAGCAACTTCAACATGTAATGAGTCATTAGGATGCCTTGTGTTCTTCTTCCCCTTGTCTTCTTTTGTGGTTCAGAGATTGTCTGATGGAGGGGGGCATGCATGAATTACAGAGGGGCGTATGCATGAATTACAGAGGGGGGCATACATGAATTACAGAGGGGGGCATACATGAATTACACAACCATGACAGAGAAATCGCTGTGGGTCTAAATTCTGTACTTACTGTTCTATCTTGGAACTGGAGACGTGTGTGTGCAATTCAAACTTTAGCACAAATCATAAATAAATGTCTATCAAACAAACATGTAGGTTATATTAGCAGATCTTAAGTTTAGATTTGGTTCTTGAAAAATGGGTGTGTATAGACTTGAGACCTACAGTGATGTATCTAATGGTTGTCTATAGACAGTACATGACAGTGAATGGTGGGATAGTGGGGAAACTTGACTCTCTCTCCTTCAGAGAGCGGATGTAGCGGAGAGGGAAGCAGAGGCTCTTCGGGAACAGCTGACATCCGCCAACAAGTCCCTCCAGCTTGCCACACAGATCCAGAAGGCCCCTGACATGGAGCAGGCCCTGGAGGTTCTGTCTCGCTCCAGTCTGGAGGTGGAGCTGAGCGCCAAGGAGCGGGAGGTACTGCACCTGGCTGAGGACGTGCAGAGACTGCAGGCCAGCCTGGCCAACATCCGTGAGAACTCAGCCTCACAAATCAGTCAGCTGGAGAAGCAGCTCAGCACCAAGGAGAGCTCGCTCAAGGTCAGCCCCGTCACACCACCACCAGGGCCCCTGGTCAGCCCCGTCACACCACCACCAGGGCCCCTGGTCAGTCCCGTCACACCACCACCAGGGCCCCTGGTCAGCCCCGTCACACCACCACCAGGGCCCCTGGTCAGCCCCGTCACACCACCACCAGGGCCCCTGGTCAGCCCCGTCACACCACCACCAGGGCCCCTGGTCAGTTCAGTCACACCACCACCAGGGCCCCTGGTCAGTTCAGTCACACCACCACCAGGGCCCCTGGTCAGTTCAGTCACACCAACACCAGGGCCCCTGGTCAGCCCCGTCACACCACCACCAGGGCCCCTGGTCAGTTCAGTCACACCACCACCAGGGCCCCTGGTCAGTTCAGTCACACCACCTCCAGGAGCCCTGGTTAGTCCCAGAACACTGAGGGCACTGGTCAGTTCCGTAGATTAGTCAGTTATGAAGAGTAGGCCTAACCACACTTGAACTTGTGTGCCATGGTAAGAAAAGCTGCAGTTGTCAGTAGTACTTTATAATGCATCCGTGTGCATCCCGTTAATGCATTTGGATATTGTGCACAAGATAAGCTCTACCTTTCAGCTTGAACTCAGAAAAACAGTAATTTACAAATGAAACATGTCAGGACCCTCTGACTAATGCATAGCCCTGAACCCTCTCTCCCTAAACGTCACAGTGGTTTTACTGAACTCTGCGGGGCACCCCACACAAGACTCTACATTTAGGACTTGACTGACACGTCTTTGTATCCATGGAGACTGAACAGACATGTCATACCCAGTGAGCTTTATGCACAGAGACTGTAGAGCAGGGGTCAGCAACAGGCGGCCCGCGGGCCAAAACCGGCCTGCAAGTGATTTATTTTTGATATATACAATTAGGATTTTCGTAGTTGCCTACCTCTGCCTACCTCTACTGTAGATCTTCTTTATTGGAAGTTGTCGTGACAGGTGTAGCTGCATGGTAATGTGTTTTTTAGAGACTGCAGAAAGAGAAAAGAGTAGAATTGTTATGTACACTTTCCAATGCACTGAGCTATCTTAAATGTACACATGCTAATGCACTAGGCATGCAATGTGACTCCTCAAGAGAACATATTCTACATTTACATTTGAGATATTTAGCAGACTCTCTTATACAGAGCGACTGACTGTCTCACCTAAAATAGCTAGGTGAGACAACTATATTACAGTTGTAGTAAGTACATTTTTCCTCAATAAAGAAGTCAGCAAAGTCGGTGCTAGTAGGAAAAGTCAATTGCATGTTTTTTGGGGGGTGGGGGGGGATAAGATACCCTTTGAAGAGTATACGTTGACTCTCCAAATGTTTGCTTCCCCATGCATTGGTCCTCATTATGAGCCCACTAGATTATACACATACTTTTACGCTCTGTCCTCCCAAGAGTACACTACTCGCTACTTTATGAGAGTAACGAAGTGTCTCTCTCTCCACACAGCAACTGGAGGAGAAACTGCAGGAGCAGGCGGACTATGAAGACGTCAAGAAAGAGCTCAGGTAATTCACTTTCCCTCCTTCTGCCTTCCCTCCTCTCCCCTCAGCCACAGGCGTCAGTTCAATAAACCATACAAATTAACCAGAAAAAATTCATTGCTGCCTCCGAGCCTAAACTTGTGATGCCACCGGGTGCAAGTATGTAAGACGTGGCCTCGTCCAAGGTCGGGTCAGTACGGATTCACTCTAATGCCATTCGGACGCTCTGCCAAACCACCCTCAAGACTATCATTAACCTTTAGATTTATTCCCTGAGTGTGGATGCGTAGAGTCAGAGTATTATTGGCTAAGCACTGGTAGTGCTTATCAGAGAAGCTAGTTTGATTGGACAGTGGGCCTTTACGTTCAACCTCTGTTTGCCACTGCTTTCTTATCTGATTGGGATGTTTTGGGGTCTGGAGATGGGATGCTAACATGGCTGTGCTGTAGACTCATTAAAGGGGTATGTACTGGATGCTTTCTCCCCACATGTGGGTTTATTGACATGGTCTTCAAATCTCGTTTCTTTTAAGTATAGCTACTTTTAAGGTCATTCTTTTGAAACCATTGATTGCAGTTGTCAAATATGTTATGTGTACAGTAGCTCAATAAATTATTTGTTTATATAAAAAAGGTTGAATAAACCAAGGAAATCTGTTATGATAAATGTCATTTTTAATCTTCACTCATTAAGCTTTATTGCGCCGTATTTTCTTTTTTTTATGGCAGTGGCTCGTATAAGCTCTAGCGTTTCTGGTCTGGGATCTCAAGACGGTGAACAGTTTCTGCAGTTGTTTGGTGTTGTGCTGCGTCTTATCTCAGTCCAAGCCAGTAACAAGAAGGCTAACTATGTTAAGTTTGGCCGATAAGATAATTGCCCATGTTTAGGGAACTGGGGCGTTTTCTTGCCAGGATTTAACAATCTCCACACATCTGAGGAAGGGGCCGTCTGGACATTAATTTGGTAACTGGATTTTCAGGCATAATATTCCCAATTGGAAGAAGTCATAAAGGTAGTATCAGTGAATGGTTCTGTTTGTGAGTTTTTCTAGCCACTATGATGGTCAGCCAAAGAGCGATTTCTGGGAATTTGTATTGATAGCCCGCCTGGGATCCCAAAGGGAAGCATTCCTCTCCTAATAGACTAAAGTGTCTTTATTTGCCTCCCAACCTTTTCATAGATGCTTTTTCCTCTATAGATAATATCGCCTGAAATCCAATTGGCACCCAGTACATGATTGAATAACCCATTTTAATTACTGTGATTGACTCTAAGGATTTCATTGCGTTATCAGATTTTGATGGTCGGAGAGGAGTGAAGGACTTGTATTGAGCCGACTCTCTTTGTGACGTATCGCTTTGCCACTGCCTGTCGCTGATTTAGATATTCTGTGCGGGCTGGTAGCAGATACATTTCAGTCCTGTAGTGCTGTGTGTATTTGTGATCTCCTTTTTGTAGTGGGTGCAGTAATCAAGTGGTCCATTTTCCCTTGTTTACTTCACAGTTTCCGCAAGTCCATAGAGTTTGGCCCTTCAAACTGCTCTTCAGCACAGGTAAGGAGGCTGAATGTTGCATTTGAGTTGGATTTGAACAATATTTAGACAGTATATCTTATCAAACAATGTTTAACAATGTACTCTCTCCTTGTCAGGAATCTAAGAAGCCTCTGGAGTTGTTGTTGAAGAGTCGAGGCCTGCATTCTGAGAGCTCCTCCCTGCGCCTGAACAACAGTGAGCTGAGTAGTGAGTCCTTCAAGCCACCTACACACACATACACATACATGCATATGCACACAGGATTTATGAAGGTGACTTATCAATCAGACATCTGATGTGGACTATGTAGTGTTTCTTTGCCACCTGGGAACTTGCCAACTGACGAAGTTGAACGTTAGTGTTCGCCAGAAAATATTTATTTGTTTAAATCTCCTTAGCCATTTACACTCACTCGTACCTGTATACGGGTTGAAAATAGCATATTTGGGCACTGATAAACGCCTAAATTGGAACGCTGTGGCTGTGTACAGTAACATGCTATACATCATGGTTTCCCAAACTTGGTACTGTGGACCCCCTGGGAGTACATTTTGTTTTTTGCCCTAGCACTACACAGCTGATTCAAATAACCAACTCATCATCAAGCTTTGATTATTTGAACCAGCTGTGCAGTGCTAGGGCAAAAAACCAAATGTGCACCCAGGGGCCCCAGGACCAAGTTTGGGAAACCCTGCTATACATGACGTCAGAGCTCTGGCGTTGGGCTTTGACTGACAGCCGTTCTGAACTTGAGCACCTTGTGCGACAACATGTTGCCACCCTCCTGCTAATTGTGCAACTATTTTGTTGTCTGTGTGAGAGAAACGCTGAAAATTAACAGGACTATGTATACTGAACAAAAATATAAAAAAATATATATATAAAAATGTCCCATGTTTCATGAGCTGAAATAAAAGATCCCAGAAATGTTCCATATGCACAAAAAGCTTATTTCTCTCAAATTTTGTGCACCAATCTGTTTACATCCCTGTTAGTGAGCATTTCTCCTTTGCCAAGATAATCTATCCACCTGACAGGTGTGGCATATCAAGAAGCTGATTAAACAGCATGATCATTACACATGTGCACCTTATGCTGGGGACAATAAAAGGCCACTCTATAATGTGCAGTTTTGTCAAGCAATACAATGCCACAGATGTCTAAAGTTTTGAAGGATCGTGGAATTGGCATGCTGACTGCAGGAATGTCCACTAGAGCTGTTGCCAGATAATTGAATGTTAATTTCTCCACCATAAGCTGCCTCCAACCGTCGTTTTATAGAATTTGGCACTACGTCCAACTAGCCTCACAAATGCAGACCACGTGTAATCACGCCAGCCCAGGACCTCCACATCCGGCTTCTTCACCTGCGGGATCGTCTGAGACCAGCCACCCGGACAGCTGATGAAACTGAGTGGAGAAAAATGTATTCTGATTGGCTGCGCCCCTGCCCAGTCATGTGAAATCCATAGATTAGGGCCTAATTTATTTATTTCAATTGACGGATTTCCTTATATGAACTGTAACTCTGTAAAATCATTGAAATTGTTACATGTTGCGTTTATATTTTTGTTGAGTATATTTTGAAAGATGAGACGTTGAGGATTATAATGAATACCGCTTTGATGTCATACAAGCAAGCCAAACACCTGTGAATCCAAATGTGCAATTCACATTTCGATATCAAAAAACTCATGTCATATACAGTGTCAAAGTTTATGATCACTACAGTTACAAGATGACATGGCGTCATACCTTGGGTGGTTCTGAACAGAATGAGCCTATGTTTGACTATTGTGAAGAAAATTTGCTGCGGTACACGCACCTGAATGCACTCATGACTCATTTCTATGCGTAACAAAATTACGATCTGTAATATCGTATTTTAAACTTACCTAGTCATGTTTGCAGTATAACAAGCTTTCAAATGATGCCCACCTGACCGAGATTGTGATTTTTAATGGACCGGGTTGTTTTCCAACCAAAACAACTACAAGTGTGCTTGCTCTAGATACCCTCAACGGCACAGCTAGGAGAGCTAAATAAAGCATCTAATAGTTGAAGACTATTCTTTGAGTCATAAAAGTGCATTGAAATTATGTAGGAACTGTGCACACTTTGGAGAGGTGTGTGGCCACTCGGAGACACCAGTTCTCACTCAAACCCTTGTATTTTTCTTATTTTAGGTTGCACCTACCCCACATGTTACTGAATGTATCCAGAGTATTTTGAGATTTCGTTATCAACAAGTACAGTAAATGTAAAATACACATAAAATCAACGGTGTAATGTCTGGATTCAGTCGGGTGAACTATTGTGTCCTCACCTTTGGTCTAATAATTTTGCCATAATCTCCAAATTGTTCCCTTTCACTTGCTACCAGGGTTAGGCATTTCATATTTCTTCTGTAAAAAAACGTTTCAATTTAGCCATATAGGCCAATTCCCACGAGCCGTAAAGGGTTAACCAGTATCAGAGCAGCCAATCAGATATCATCAGATTTTGTTTGTGATATACATGTAGACACAACCACGAAGTCAATTCCTGGTGTGAACTGCCCTCTGTCAAGGTCTTATTCACGGGCTGGAACAGAACCGTAAGCACTGATAGGGTTGTTTACAAAGAGGGGGCTGATGTTTTGTTGAACTCATTGAGCCTAATTCAGTGATACACAGAGCCCTAGTATTCCACCTTTGATCTCTGATCCCTTATCGTCCTCTCTTGTCACGACATGCCAGCTCTTTGAACCGCATACCCCATATTCAGTAGCCTTACACTCCTGAGACTGAAGGATATCTGTCACAAAGAGCTTTATGAAAGTGTACACATTGTCTGAGCTGAAGTTACCTCAGACCAGACTGTAATGGGGAGAAAAAGTCCATAATTAGCCTTCATGGGCCTGTGCCTCTGTGTGTGTGCCAGGGTGCTTCAAACTTAAAAGGACACACAGTCCTTTTGTTTCTTTACTCTGTCAGTCGCCTAGAGGGGTTATATACGGGAAGTCCAGTAGTCAAACAGGAAGCAGCGCCAGCTATCTCCGCCAGCAGAAGAAGAGACTGTTAGACTCAAAGGAAAGACGTTATCTCTCTTGGAGCATTTTCTTTTCTACAAATATAGAGACACACTTCTAAAGAATGTGTCAACTGTTTCCATTGGCACACTCCCACGTTTGATACAAAGAAATACATAAAGTAAATGTATAATAGATTTGAATTGAAGGGTTCGATGCAGACAGTCTGCTCACACCATTAAGATTGAAGTGCTGCTGCTTCCTCAGCGCGGCACTCGTCTTGTCTGGCTCCTCGATTTATCTCATTCAGAGAATCAGCCCTTTAAACAGGGGGATTTGAGAGATACTGTAACATTTTCTGTGATACATTTCAACAGGATCCCTGTTTGAAGTTCCTTGTTGTATCTCCATTTCTCTAAACGCCTTGACTTTACATCTGCTACCCAACTGCTTAGACTCTGGAGATGAAAAGATTGGGGACTTGTTGGTCCTTGGTGTACAAACCAACCTTTTGGTACTAGTTTTACACCTGCTGATGATCAGTTTGCCTTTTTTCCAGTTGAGAGCTTTAGCTTTCTGTTCTAAGTTACCTCAAAAGTCTCTTTTAAAATCTCTCCCTAAAGTTTATTTTACCCTAAACTCGAAGGTTTGACCTCTCCAAAAAATTACCTAACCACACCACAGGCTAGGGGTCTCTAACTACACAAACAGGTACCGACCGCTGCTTGTGTATGGAGGCTACATCTCATCTTTACGGGTTAAGGTCAGTTTGCTTGCTTCCCAGGGCTGTTTGGGTAGTGCATCTGCGACAACACAGATTGCAGTTGCGTGTCGGTGGGTGGGGGTAGTGGAGGGGCACAGTGCGGCCCACCCTGGGCGAGGAGAAGAAGGGGGCCACTGGAGGTCAGACGCTGGTGGAGATGAAGTGATCCAGTATGGTAATGAAGCCCTGTTAGTCTCTCCTCCCAGTGTGCCCTTTACCACTCGGTCGCTCTGGAAATGTCATCCCAATTGGCTTCGGGTCTCGCCCTCCCTCACCCACCCTAAAAAATGAAGCATTTCATTTGCATTCCTAATGGGATCCCTCGTTGTCCTACCAGATCATGTCGATGTGAAACCACGGACCGGCATCCTACTTGTTTATTTCCCAATGTGATTTTGGATTAATTAATGTTAATGATTGTAAAGTGTTATCAGTTTTATGAGAATAACTAAATGTTGTGTGCCTGATGCTCTGTACACCATGGACTCTTTTGTAATGGTGTTGGGCCTATGGCTATACCTAACATTAATCAAAGCTCACAAGGAAAACTACATAAAGAGCAATTCTTGCTTGGCAGCCATTGTTTATTATTGCTGTATAGTACATGCATAAGTTTTGCTTCTGTTCCCACACTCTGATGAACACACCACAGGCACACACACCACTGATGTTAACCCACCATGAAACTCTACCTTGAGTGAGTGGTGGCCTGGAGATGGTGATATGCAGGGGCAGGTTAAAGGAGGTTAGGCAGGGCATACACCACACAGCAGGTAACCTAGGCACATCTGCCTGTGTCCATATCCTGGGTCATGCCTGCCAGACGCTTCCCTTCACTACTGCTCAGTGTCCCTCTCCACAGCCAGAAGCCCAACTGGCAAACACACACACTCCATCAGTGCATCTCCACTCTAATGTTATGCTACTCCACTGGAGTACACTGCCCACGTCTAGATATTTTGTTTGTTATTTTGGACTTTGTTGACGCCACATGATGTATTGATCTGTGTCATGTTTTGTCTGGTTTCACAGGTGTGAGGGAGCGAAAGGTCAAAGAGTCATCAGAGGGACAACAGTGTCTTTCCACCACACCCATGGGCACCAACTTGAAGGGCTCCCCTCCCCCTCCCTCCTCTCAGCTCCTCCTGCGCACTGGCTCAGGTGGTTCCTCCGACACCACCCCAGTCACTGCCGCCAATGGCACACACCACTTCTCGCCCACGGGCGGTGGGCTGGGTGGGCAGGACTTCTTCAGCCCCTCCTCTCTGGCGTCGGCGGGCACCGTTTTCCCCTTGGGGGGCAAGGTGGCGCTCAACTCCCTGCTGCAGCGCCAGCTCATGCAGACCTTTTACTCCAAAGCCCTGCAGGACTCAATGTCCGCCTCCGGCCAGGCCCTGCTCTTCTCCCCCGCCAACTACCCCACCCATAACTCCCTCTCAGCCAGCCCCCTGCCACCCCATCAGTCTTTGCAGTCACAATCCCAGCACCCGTCGGCGGGCAGCCCGGACATCAACGGCCTAGCCCCCTCACCAAGCCAGTCAGAAGGGGCGGGGAGCGTCTCAGAAGGCGAAGACATGGACACGTCTGAGATAGCGCGTCAGGTCAAGGAGCAGCTGATCAAGCACAACATTGGGCAGAGGATCTTCGGCCACTATGTGCTGGGGTTGTCCCAGGGCTCTGTCAGTGAGATACTGGCCAGGCCCAAGCCCTGGAGCAAGCTGACCATCCGGGGCAAGGAGCCCTTCCACAAGATGAGGCAGTTCCTGTCCGACGAGCAGAACATCCTGGCACTGCGCAGCATCCAGGGGAGACAGAGAGGTGAGACTGACAGAAATGTATACATACACTTCACACAGCACACATCAACCGCTCACACACACACATAGCTGAGCACGTCACATATACACACATATTTTAGTAATGTCTTTGCCTCCAGATGCTTTGCATCACACATCAAGTTCCAATTCCTAGGTGAGATATTTCTGATGTGTATAGAACGGTAACCTCGTAATTACCAGACTGATTCCATTCATGTAAACTTGCAAGATCAGGTGGCTTGCGAGGTTAGTAGAATGGCCCCAGGTTCAGGCATGTGTTCTGTTTCTGTGTTACGGTAGCTTCAGTATGGTCCTGCTGTGCTCTCCCACAAATCTGTGTACTCAACTTAACAGGAAAAGGAGTGCTGAATAGTACATTGATGGTACAGACATTTAGACGTCCCCCCCACCCTCCACACCCCACAGCAGTGTGGCCATAGCCCGGGACCTTGATGAATGGACAGCGATCCTTATCACTCTGTCGCCAGTCATGTCGCCTGCTAAAATATCCAGATTAACCTCGCAGACATGTTCCCTTCCCCGTCGTTATCGCCTTTCGCCTGTCGTCGTAGCAACCGTCCCAGGAATAAAAACCAAGTAGAGGGAGGGAGCATTTAAAAGCTAGTCTATCAAGATGTCATCGTCGCACGCGCCACTCAGGGTTCCATCACTTAGCGCTGTCGGCACACTGCTTTTTGCTATTGATTTTGTAACCGTCTTAAATGGCACATTGCCATGTGCTGCTTGGGAATGCATTCTGTACTGTTGAGTCAGTGAGTGGGAGGCAAGCTGATCCCGTCAGATTGCAGAGGAAGATCTGTCTGAATGGGCTCAAACAGCAGTCAATAACATGCATGTCTGGACAGGCAGTGGTGCGGGGGGGGGGTTGTGTTTGTGTGTACTGTGTGTTTGTGTCAGTCATGCAGAACAGAATGTTCTGAGGATAGTGCTTTAAGTCTTCTGAAAAAGCATGCCACAGTAGTGACAGTACACACGGCGACTCAGACTGGAGCTGCACTCCCCTGCTGCAAAGCTCTCATTCTTCACCCCAAACTGCTCATAATGCGGACATTTTCACAAGCAATTATGTCAAATTTGAGACCGATTACAAAACGCGTGCCTGTACATTGGGTTCCTATTAAATGACTCCATATTTCTCCTCTTTCCTCTCTCTTTCTCCTTTCTCTATCTCTTTGTATCCATCACTCTGGCTGTGTCTGTTTCTCTGCTCTCTCTCTCTCTTTCTGTCTCTAACTGAGGAACTGATACATTTGGAGCTTGGTGCTCAGTCAATAGCGTCACAAGGCAAGATGAGAGCTGCTGCCGTCGGCAGCCCTGGACGAGAGCGAGGCGAAACAGACTGGGTATTAGGAAACACGTCCGCAGTCCAGTCTCTCCGCGTTACACAGCACGGGCCCACTTGGCAGTCAGGGCAGGGGTGATGTGAAAGTTTGCGCTTGGGGGCGAAATTTGTTCCTCTCTGTGTTAAAGCAGAGTAGTGAGTGTAGATGAATGTGCACACTGTTGCTCTGCACTCTTGTCTATTGTACTTGTTTGGACGGGCTTCAAGGAGTTGGTCTGGCAGCAAGCACCAAACCTGTTGGCCCAGGGGAAAAGTCTAACAGAAGTTTAATAGAATCATGCTGGGAAGAAATGTAATGTGGTTCTTATGCGCTGTAGCTACTAGTTCTGTTCCGTTTCAATCATTTCAATGTTCTCAATAACTGAACCCGCAACTCACAGTCCAGTGAGTCCAAATCCCCATCAATGTCTGTTCTCGAATATGTGGAGAGTTTGACATGTGGGTTTGAATGGTAGAACATGTGGATTGACTCAAGGGTTCTCAGAAGGCGGTTTAAGACTGTGTAGAGTGGTCTTAAATCAACTTTGTTTCTGGCTGTTTGACAATAAGATACTGTTGTCTACTACTGTGCGTATTACTCTGGCCAAAGTGTTAGCAAAGAGCATGTGTGCATTTACAAGCATTGTATTCTGACATACTGAACCATATGGCTTCTAGCTATATTTGCGTTCTTAAGTAAGTCACTTAAGGGTTTCGTCCTTGTTGAATTGGTTTTGCCCAAATGTTAGGGTTTTTGCTCAGATGACTAGATGTTGTGGTGGTGATGAGGAGGTGGTCTAGTAACTGTAGATCTATAGCTCTATTTAGCTAAGGCCCTGACTACCACCACCATATCCTGTCTCCATTTGAGTATAATGAAGCTGCTCCTAGACATTGATCTATTGTCAGTTTTGCGTTTTCACTCTAATGGTTAACAGTTCGGATTTGGGGAGAGCAAGCTGATCCACCTCCATGTGGCAGTTCAGGGTTCTGACACTTACTTATCTTATCTGTCGCCACTTGTTTTCCAACAGAGAACCCAGGCCAGAACCTGAACAGAGTGTTTCAGGAGGTTCCGAAGCGAAGAACCGGCTCCGAATGCTCCTCGAGGCCAGGTCTGTTCTTTGCCTTCCCTATCGTGGTTGGTTTAGTGTTTTGGTCGGCTTTTATGTTGTACAATCTGTTGTGTCAGTTAGCCATTGTCAAAGTCACTCTACCACTTCTGGCCTGGAGTCTGGTTGAAAATACAGGGAGGGGGTTGATGTTTATCCTAACCATGGATATTCTTTCTTCCCCATTAAGGGGTTGGTTTATCTGATCATAGATCTGTGGTTAAGGACACCTTCTACCTCAGGCGAAAAAATGGGGGGTAGGATTAGGGGATACCTAGTCAGTTGTACAACTGAATGCATCAAACTGAAATGTGTCTTCTGCATTTAACCCAACCCCTCTGAATCAGAGAGGTGCGGGGGGCTGCCTTAATCGACATCATCGGCGCCTGGGGAACAGTGGGTTAACTGCCTTGCTCAGGGGCAGAACAACAGATTTTTACCTTGTCAGCTCGGGGATTCGATCCAGCAACCTTTCGGTTACTGGCCCAACGCTCCTACCCGCCAAGCTACCTGCCGCCCCAAACATGAAGGGGGTTATAAAGGCACCCTTTCGACCCATAGGGTGCGTCTTAAAACTTCCAGTCCAAACCAGCCCACGTAATCTCTCCCAGTCTGACATCAGGGCGAAACCTCACTTGTATAATTTAGGCTTTAAAAAGCTCCTTTATATGCCGTACTATATACTTTCCCCAAACCCATGCAGTGTTTCATGCCTTATGAAAATGGCCATGGGTGTGGTGCTTACATGCAGATTGGCACTTCGGAAGGCCGCATACACAATGATTTTCAACCCCTTTTTCTTCACAGGCAGTGGTGGCCTTGACAAAACTGTAAAACTTTAAAAACAGAGGTCCTTAGAAAAACATAGTAACATTGTGTCCCCATGACCCGGCAGCTGTTCCCCGTACACCACCATGGCTGTGCATGTGTGTATATCTCTGTGTATGTGTGTGAGTTAGAACGTGCTGGGGGGGGGGGGGGTGCTTACGGAGTCCCCCATCCTTGCCCTGTCAGACCCCTTTTTTGTCATGATTTATTTCCAGTTCACCCCCTGTACCCAGCTGCTCCCCCCCGCCTCACTCACACACATGAGCGAGCGCGACCTTGCCCAATTACTCTGACCACTCACTCAGGACAAATGAGAGAGAGGAAGCCGGGAAGCTCGGGAGCCACGTTCGTCAGGCCCCTCCATGTTTAACTCCAAACAGCAATTAGCCTTCCCTTCTGAAGCCCATCCAAAACACCAGGTCTTGTGTTTCTTATGGAGTCTGTCCAAAGTCTGGTTCCCATTGTTGCGGAGGGTAGCTGGCTGGCTAGCTGGCTGCTGGAAGTGTTCTGTTCAGTGCTCATGAGGAACATGTGTAGCCGTGGCCTCTTGTGTTAACAGGATTGAGCTGTGTTGTAAAGGGAGCCCCCAGGGGAGTATTGCTGGCAGACACACATACACACTGGTTCTGTTGCCAGGGGGGGCCATGGCGATTTGATGTCAGAACTCACTGAAGGAGAAGGCTAGGTTTAACGTCACCTTGGGTTCCTTTTAGACAGGAGACAGTCAGTAGACTCAAACTTCAGACTTTTTTATTGGATATTTATTGGAAAAGTAGCACTTTTCTCAAACTCAAAACATTGAGCTTCAGATTTCACTGGCTATGTTATGACTGTTCACCTGTGACATATTGTAGTCAGACTCAAAAAAGTGAAATACTAGCAACATATATATTAATTACCCAAAGGTTCTATCACCCCCGTTGCCTCCTGCCGTCCCTCCCTTTGGTACAGTCCATTGACCCCTGACCTTTGTTGCCCCTCCCTAGGTAACATCACCACACGGATCCGCACCCCAGAGAGTGGCTCAGACGAGGCCATCAAGTCCATCCTGGAGCAGGCCAAGAGAGAGCTGCAGGTTCAGAAGGCTGGTGAGTGACTCCTCTCGCTGACGGACACTACTCTACAGCAGGGGCTGGTTTGAATTTTCCATTGAGTCCCTCTATTGATATAGCTAAAATAATTGACCTCAACCCAACTTCAACCCTGCTGTATAGTTGCCTGATGCTTCTTGTCTGACCCTTGTCATACCACACTGCATGCCCCTTATACGGAAATTATAGGGATGGTGGGTATTTGCTGTATGAAGAGTTTCCTTCCCAGTGTTTTGACCGCATACAGCCCGTAAAGTGGATGAACATACAGTAAGATGTGATGTGGTCGACTCAAGCTTTCTCCATTGTATCTTATTGGTCATACAATTATTCCTAAATTGCCAATGCCATAACTAATGCCAAACAGTGCTAGTGACTGCCCCATACACTGCCTTTAGAATGTCTAAGAGATGTCCCTCGTGCTAACCCCCTCTTGACGCCGTGCCACCCACTACAGATGGTGTGGAGGACAGACAGCGACGACAGACAGGTTACCCCCGAGGCATGGGCAACTATTTTGCAAAATATGCACAAAGTCTCAGACTCGGTGAGGAATGGATTTAACCTTACACACTGTGTGGCCCCACACCGAGAATATATGAACCACCTTTTTCTGTCAGGGATGGAGAAAACATTTCCTTGACCGTCCATGTCTTAAATCTAAGGGATATGGTTTACTAGGGAGCAGTTATTTTAGCCTGAAACACATTAGAAAGGAAAATGTGGCTATATTGAAATTCTTAAGTGATGGACTGTTATTGTATGAATTATCAAGCACTTAAAATATGTTTATAAGACAATCCGTTACTTCATAAGAAATCACTTCTTGTCAAATGTTACATTTTCCTTTTGTTTTGATCTTCAGGCATCAAACAGAAAATCCAAAACCTCACCAAATTCTTCTCCACTTCAAATAGTGTGGGCCATGGAGCATCATCTGAAGTTGAGTGTCGATGGCGTTCGTAGCCTTGTCTGATGACGTCTGTCTATCCTCTCTGTCTGTCTCTCCCTGCAGTAGACTCGTCCCAGCCCCCTCCCTCGTCCAGCATTGGTGGTGGTTGTGGTGGTATCGGCTCGGGTGGATCCTCCAGCTCAGACGAGACCATCCGCTCCATCCTAGAGCAGGCCAGGAGAGAGATGGAGGCCCAGCAGGCCGTCCTGGAGCCCATCCTCAAAGCATCCTCCATGGGCCCCTCTGACTTGGCCCTGCTCTCCCCCAAACTCCTGGGCGCTCCCATCCTCCCGGCCTCCTACTCGCCTCTGGCCCTCTCACTCAAGAAGCCCTCCATCCCCCCAACCTCCTCTCCTTCGCCCTCCTCCCTCCTGGATTTCCACTCTGCCATGGTGAAGAAGGAGGCAGGAGAGGTGGTGGTTGGAGAAGGTGGGGGAGGAGGAGGGTCGCTAATGGACGGAGGGACGAAGCAGGGGCGAGGCTCCTGGAGGGATCAATGGTGGAGCAGTATGCATCCCGGGGGGCAGGGAGTCACGGCTAGCCTGAATGACGATGCGCGTAGTCAGGAGGACAGCAAGGAGGTACAGTAACATAAATACCACACACACTCTGCCTTCATGACCTCTCTCTCACCTCTGAACCATGGTGGTCCGGCCACAATGTTCAAAATGTTCTGAGAATGTGTCATATTACTATAACTCATCACAGTTCTACACTCAAGGCTCATTCCCTCTGAGGGATCATATACATGTTGTTTGTGTAAGTTGTTAGCTACTTCTCCTTAAACTGCTGAGATTTGTTACGCACTACTGTCGTTTTTGTTGGTTGCCATCACTCAAATCAGCTTCTGTACACAGCCCTTGTGCAACTGAAATGTATTTGGAAGGTGATATTAGAAGACAAACGGAGGGCCATTGTCTGTGTTCATATGTAGCGTGCAGCTGCTCCACTCAGGACGAGGTGCTTGGAGTGCGTATGTGTGTGTGTGAGGTCCGTGTCGACACCACAAACCGGATATGGCAAATACTTACGCTAGCAGCCTTCAGAGGCAGAACATGGCCTAACCCAGCAACTCATGGGAGCTAAGATTCTTCACAACATTGAAATCATCGCCATACCTTCTGCCCCATATCTTCTGATCCACATACCCTCTCTGGATCCATCCAATGACAGTGGCTGTGTCCTACTCCTTTATAGGGGGAAGAGGAGCCACCTACCTTCCACTCACGCCTATTCATAGCCGGCGATAGCTTGACGTTAGCGTTAGAGGTTAGCGCCCTCCCTCCACAGTGACTGTGCCATTAGCAATTAGCTGTTATCCTTTAGTGGCCGGCCCCATCCCCACTTCCCAACTGACTGTGCCTCTCTGTGTCTCCGCCAGAAGCCTCCCCGGCTGGCCCCCTCCTCCTCCTCCGTCTCCATCTCCTCCCTGGACTACTGGAAGGACTGGCCCCGGGCCGAGTCCCCGTACTCCCAGGCCGGCTCCGAGCCTGGCGGGGGCACCAAAACCCAGGGGCCCAGCCGCGCCGACACGCCCCAGAGCAGCCCCTCTCCCCTGAGCCTGGGGCCTCTGGGGTCCCTGTTGACCCCCGCAGCCAAACAAGCCAAGCCTGTGGTGGCACCGCTCACTCCTGAGCAGTACGAGTTCTACATGTACCAAGAGGTGGACACGGCCGAGCTCACGCAGCAGGTCAAAGACAAGCTTGCCAAGAACGGCATCTGCCAGCGCATCTTTGGAGAGAAGGTGTGCAAGACACAGACCACCTACACCCTACCGTCCCATACTCGTGTCCTTACACTCCCTAATATACTCATCCTGCGCTGGTGTAGTGTCAACTCACATCCCCCCTGTAATACTGCTCCCCTTCTCTCTCCTTCCTGTCATTTCCGCCCAGCTGCCCTCCACCCTCAGTCAGCACAGTTCAAGACTGTGTGTACTATGCTAGCTCAGCTCTCTGTTATAGTGTGTTTGTTAAATGAATCTATTCATACATTTCATAGATTTCTGTGTAAACAGGAAACAGTCACTTTTGACATCATAAAACATATGTGGTCCTTTAAGCTTCAGTTGTCACATCCATTTAAAACACATCTAAGCCTAAGTCGCTCTCTCAGCAGTCAGCTAGTTAATGGCATCACACTGTGATATAGCATTGGGCCGCCAACCAGGATTCCACCAACAAAAACTCCTTTATACACCCTCTTTGGTATAAACTAAAGCAGATGGTGTAATGGCGTACAGTACAGATCTCAGTGGTTTGAAGGAAGAAGTGCATGATCTCTATGCATGTGTGTTTGTAATTGGGCGATTCCATACCAGCATGTCCTGAAAATATTTTAATATCACAGATTGTTTTGGCAATTCTCACATAAAAACTTCATTGGGGGGATGTTTAACATGCATATTACATTTGTATCACAAACCATTTTTTGGGAAAATCAGGATGAAAGTCAAGTGGCAATTTTTAGACCTATACATGCCTCCTGTAAGACCCTATGATCAGTGAAACCGTACATGGTGAAGACAACATATTAGTGTCATTATACTCCTTGTAGTGTGCTCTAAAATATGGAGTATGTCTATAATCTGTAGCTAATATAAGGCTTCATGCTGGCATGCTTTCTGAGCAGTGTAGTAACACTTTGGAATGTTGTTTTACTGTGATGGTGAGCTCGGGTATATTAAAATATTTGACTGGCGTGTCTGTGTTTATGTCTGTGTGTATGCGTGTCTGTCTGTCTGTGTATGTATGCGTGTCTGTCTGTGTGTATGCATGTCTGTCTGTGTGTGTGTGTGTGTGTTACAGGTGCTGGGCCTGTCTCAGGGCAGTGTGAGCGACATGCTATCCAGGCCCAAGCCCTGGAGCAAGCTGACCCAGAAGGGCCGGGAGCCCTTCATCCGCATGCAGCTCTGGCTCAACGGAGAGCTGGGCCAGAACATCCTGCCCTTACAGGGCCAGCCGCAAGGTAAACACATACACACTCACCGGACATGCACACTGCTAGAACGTACTGCACCTACATGACCAACCACAAGGTACACGTGTACACAGAAGAAGGAATCCTGTACAGAATACAAATATTCCAAAAGATGCATCCTGTTTGCAACAAGAAACTAAAGTATACTGAACAAAAATATAAATGGAACATGTAAAGTGTTGGTCCCATGTTTCGTGAGCTGAAATAAAAGATCCCAGAAATGTTCCATAGGCACAAAAAGATTATTCCTCTAAAATGTTGTGCACACATTTGTTTACATCCCTGTTAGTGAGCATTTCTCCTTTGCCAAGATAATCCATCCACCTGACAGATGTGGCATATCAAGAAGCTGATTATACAGCACAATCATTACACATGTGCAACTTGTGCTGGGGACAATAAAAGTCCACTAAAATGTGCAGTTTTGTCACACAACACAATGCCACAGATGTCTCATGTTTTGAGGGAGCATGCAATTGGCATGCTGACTGTAGGAATGTCCACCAGAGCTGTTGCCAGAGAATTGAATATTAATTTCTCTACCATAAGCCGCCTCCAACGTCGTTCTCACAGAGAATTTAGCAGTATGTCCAACCGGCCTCACAACCGCAGACCACATGTATGGCTTCCTGTGGGCAAGCAGTTTGCTGATGTCTACGTTGTGAACAGAGCGCCCCATGGTGGCGGTGGGGTTATGGTATGGGCAGGCATATGCTATGGACAACGACCACAATTGCATTTTATCGATGGCAATTTGAATGCACAGAGATACCTTGACGAGATCCTGAGGCCCATTGTCGTGCCATTCATCCGCCGCCATCACCTCATGTTTGAGCATGATAATGCACGGCCCCATGTCACAAGGATCTGTACACAATTCCTGGAAGCTGAAAATGTCCCAGTTCTTCCATGGCATGCATACTCACCAGACATGTCACCCATTGAGCAAGTTTGTGATGCTCTGGATCAACGTGTACAACAGCGTGTTCCAGTTCCCGCCAATATCCAGCAACTTCGGACAGCCATTGAAGAGGAGTGGGACAACATTCCACAAGCCACAATCAACAGCCTGATCAGCTCTATGCGAAGGAGATGTGTTGCGCTGCATGATACTGACTGGTTTTCTGATCCACGCCCCTACTTTTTTTTAAAGGTACAGAGCATTCGTAAAGTATTAAGACCCCTTCACTTTTTCCACATTTTGTTACGTTACAACCTTATTCTAAAATTGATTAAATCGTTTTTTCCTCATCAATCTACACACAATACCCCACAATGACAAAGCAAAAGCAGGTTTTTAGAAATGTTTTCACATTGATATATATATATTTTTGTAATATGACATTTACATAAGTATTCAGACCCTTTACTCAGTACTTTGTTGAAGCAGCGATTACAGCCTCGAGTCTTCGAGCTTGGCACACCTGTATTTGGGGAGTTTCTCCCATTCGTCTCTGCAGATCCTCTCAAGCTCTGTCAGGTTGGATGGGGAGCGTCCAACCTCTCCAGAGATGTTCGATCGGGTTCAAGTCTGGGTTCTGGCTAGGCCACTCAAGACCATGCTTCACCGTAGGGATGGTGCCTGGTTTCCTCCAGACGTGACGCTTGGCATTCAGGCCAAATAGTTCAATCTTTGTTTCATCAGACCAGAGAATCTTGTTTCTCATGGTCTGAGAGTCCTTTAGGTACCTTTTGACAAATTCCAAGAGGGCTATCATGTGCCTTTTACTGAAGAGTGTCTTCCATCTGGCCGCTCTACCATAAAGGCCTTATTGGTGGAGTGCTGCAGAGGTGGTTGTCCTTCTGGAAAGTTCTCCCATCTCCACAGAGGAACTCTGAAGCTCTGTCAGAGTGACCATCGGGTTCTCTGACCAAGGGCCCTGACCAAGGCCATTCTCCCCTGATTGCTCAGTTTGGCCGGGCAGCGAGCTCTAGGAGGAGTCTTGGTGGGTCCAAACTTCTTCCATTTAAGAATGATGGAGGCCACTGTGTTCTTGGGGACCTTCAATGCTGCAGACATGTTTTGGTACCCTTCCCCAGATCTGTGCCTCGACACAATCCTGTCTCGGAGCTCTACGGACAATTCCTTCGATCTCATGGCTTGGTTTTTGCTCTGACATGCACTGTCAACTGTGGGACCTTATATAGACAGGTGTGTGCCTTTCCAAATCATGTCCAATCAATTAAATTTACCACAGGTGGACTCCAATCAAGTTGTAGAAACATCTCAAGGATGATCAATGGAAACAGGAAGCACCTGAGCTCAATTTCGAGTCTCATCGCAAAAGGTCTGAATACCTATGTTAATAAGGTATTTCAGTGTTGTTGTTTTAAAAATAAATAAAAAAAACCTGTTTTCGCTTTGTCATTATGGGGTATTGTGTATAGATTGATGAGGGAAACAATTAATTGACTCCATTTTAGAATAAGGCTGTAACGTAACAAAGTGGAAAAAGTGAAGGGGTCTGAATACTTTCCGAACGCACTGTATCTGTGACCAACCAATGCATATCTGTATTCCCAGTCATGTGAAATCCATAGATTAGGGCATAATTACATTTACATTTACGTCATTTAGCAGACGCTCTTATCCAGAGCGACTTACAGTTAGTGAGTGCATACATTTTTCATACTGGCCCCCCGTGGGAAACGAACCCACAACCCTGCCGTTGCAAACGCAATGCTCTACCAACTGAGCTACAGGGGACCAGAATGTCATATACTCCAGAATGTCATGAAGAGTGATCAGATTAATTGCAATTAATTGCAAGTCCCTCTTTGCCACGAAAATGAACTTAATCCCCCCCAAAAATGTCCACTGCATTTCAGCCCTGCCACAAAAGGACCAGCTGACATCATGTCAGTGATTCTCTCGTTAATACAGGTGAGAGTGTTGACGAGGACAAGGCTGGAGATCACTCTGTCATGCTGATTAAGTTAGAATAACAGACTGGAAGCTTTAAAAGGAGGGTGGTCCTTGAAATCATTGTTCTTCCTCTGTTAACCATGGTTACCTGCAAGGAAACACGTGCCGTCATCATTGCTTTGCACAAAAAGGGCTTCACAGGCAAGGATATTGCTGCTAGCAAGATTGCACCTAAATCAACCATTTTGTTGGATCATCAAGAACTTCAAGGAGAGAGGTTCAATTGTTGTGAAGAAGGCTTCAGGGCGCCCAAGAAAGTCCAGCAAGTGCCAGGACCGTCTCCTAAAATTGATTCAGCTGCGGGATCGGGGCACCACCAGTGCAGAGCTTGCTCAGGAATGGCAGCAGGCAGGTGTGAGTGCATCTGCACGCACAGTGAGGCAAATACTTTTGGAGGATGGCCTGGTGTCAAGAAGGGCAGCAAAGAAGCCACTTGTCTCCAGGAAAAACATCAGGGACAGACTGATATTCTGCAAAAGGTACAGGGATTGGACTGCTGAGGACTGGGGTAAAGTAATTTTCTCTGATGAATCCCCTTTCCGATTTGTATTTTCACAGAATCTCCGTTAAGATATTGGTTAGGCTACAATTAGGCTGTGGAAATGTTAGGATTATTTTACTCTTCACACGCAGTCGCTTAGTAGCCTGTGTGTGTGTCCCAGTGTGTGATCTGATTGATGGCCACTAAGAGCAGGGAGAGCCTCTGTCCTTGCCCACCGATTAAATTCTCCCCGGCTGCTGTCCTTGTATTGAAATGAAAATCTTTTCCAGTTTTTATTCCGTGTCTGGAGCATTGGACTTAAGCACAGAGAGGGACTCATCCATCAGCCAGGGGTGTGTGTGAACCTGTCCGTCAGGTCTCCCCCACAGTCATCTGTCTGTGTCTGCCTCCTGAACCCACCATCACACACACATACATACTGTACACACACACACACCACACACTATGCTCTCTCTGTTGCCTTTCTAACTCACTCTCAACCACTCCTTGTCCCCAGTCTCAATTGCTACGCAGAAAACTGTCCCAGGAGCCATTATCTGATTTAGACCACAATGGTTAAGGTTTGGACTGGGTCAGGAAGAGCTGATCCAAGTCTGCTTTCAGAACTGAAAGAAACCGATGCCTCTTACCCAGACTCTCTAAAACAAGCCTAAAACACATCTTTATCAAACACAATAAATAATTTCAGCTAGATTCAATAAACTGTCTCATTTCGATACAACATTAAAAGGACTAGTGCAAGACTTAGCAACACCATTGAAATCAAAGGCCTGTGGCCTTCACTCATTTCTCATTAGCCAAAGCGTGATAATGTATACGCTAGGGTGAGGGGGTTTATGGGTAACGCCGCCATCCTGTCTGAGCTAGTGCGTCCCGACCGGTCGGAGCTGGAGCTAGCAACCACAGGGATGCTAATTATGGCTAGCTAATTAAAGAGTGGATGCTAGGGAGGTGATGACTGCTAAAAGACAGCCAAGAAGACCCAAGGACATTGTTGTTGCCTGCCACCGTGTTGTTGTTGTCCCCAGGGTGATGCGAATAAAGCTACGGGCTAATCAAATTTGGGGCCTCATTTGCATCTCTGACCCGAGGTAGATCAATTAAAATGGCACTGGGGGTTTTAACAAAGATAATCAGCTTTTCTTATGCAAAGTCTTCGTGGCTTTTCAAACTTGGTTAGGAGACAATGATGAAAGTGTGTTTTAAGTGCTGGTAAAGATAAGAAACATAGTTATTTTCGTTGATGAATAAACATAGGGGAATCAATGTCTAGCTAAAGCTCTCCTCACAAAGGATTTGATGTAACATTTAGGTTTTGGTTTCAGTGTTTAAAGGCTGCATATGACGTGTCTGCATTTGAGAACCCTTTCCATTCAATATTCCTTCCTAATTGACCTGGCCCAGGTATCCTGGATGCATATCGATCTCATTCCGTCAGTAGAGGATGCCTGGTTGTTCTTTAAAAGTGCTTTCCTCTCAATCTTAAATAAGCATGTCCCATTCAAAAAATTCAGAACTAAGAACAGATATAGCCCCTGGTTCTCCTCAGACTTGACTGC